AATAAGCCTGAGATGGTGTAGCTGATGTTATTAGGACCAGTGATTGTGTTGTCTGGGTATATGTAGCAGCAAAGTTGGCATCTGAATTTATTGCAAGCTCTGGTACCAGTGTCAATGTTCAAATTAGATGTTGTATTATTGTGGGCGAGTTGTTTGAGACAAGGGAGCTGTCTGTGCACAAGAAAAGGTTTGCCCACCAGTACTTGTGAAAGAGGACTGTCATTATCCAGTAGAAGTTGTAAACCGCTGATGATGTGTTGTGCTGTTTTAAGTTGAAAGCTGTATGTGGCCACTACTGGTGTTTTGTTATTGTCTCTTTTGGCCCTGTCTTCTAACAGGTTTTCTCTGGATATCATTCTGGCTTTGTTAATCTGCTTCCTGACTTCATCAGGTGGATACTTCAGTTCCAAAAAGGTGTGTTGTAGATCCCTCAAGTAAGAATCTCTGTCTGTAGGATTGGAGCAGATGCGGCTGTAGTGTAGAGCCTGGCTGTATACAATGGATCATTTGGTATGTTTAGGATGGTAGCTGGAGGCATGTAGGTATGTTTGTTGGTCAGCAGGTTTCTGGTGCTAGGTGGTGTCTATGCATCCATTGTGTACTTTTATAGTTGTGTCCAGAAAATGTATTTCTTGAATGGATTGGTTCATTGTCAGGTTGATGGTGGAGTGAAAATTGTTGAATGCCTGGTGGAATGGAGGGCAGGTAGAAGAGAGTCAGCCAGAGATCTTCTGCGAGTTTGGTGTTTCTAGCTTGCATAGGATCCATTCTATACACCCCTGAACCTGCATCAGTCAAAATGACTGCCATCTGACAGGCACAGGTTCAGGAGGTTCATGAGTATATAGAATGGGTCCTGTGCAAGCTAGAGACATCAAAGTTGCAGGTGACCTCTCTCAGATGCTCCTCTACATAACCTCCAAGTTATGGAGCTTTGAACTTTGGAAAACATTTAGAATGAGCAGAGATATTCTGTCTGGTAATGTATCCATTCATGAACTGGCATTAACCTCCATTAACGGCTTGAAAGTTTGTGGAAAGGTCGTGCTCCTTTACCTGCCACGATCTTCAGTTCATGACCAACAAACCGGCCAAAATTTGTCACGAACTTTAGTTTGTGAGCCAGTTCATGCTCATCCTTACTTAGTTGTAAAAGGCTGAGGCCACAACAGAGAAAGCTCTACTTATTGAATCAAGCAACTCCACCACGTTTTGGTGAGGGAGGGACAGAAACATGTGAAGGCTTTCTCTGATGCACATAAATCCATGCAATTTATAGCTATATTGGTAATAAACAGGAAATTCTTAAATTTTGTCTAGGAATATTAACTTGACTTATAAAAGCTTTAATATCATAAAAGTTGTAATATTTGGGGGGAGCTGGAAAAGAGAAAAAAATGGGCACAGATACAAAAATATATGCATAAGAGGAGGTTTAGTTCGCACAACTAAAGAACAACCCAACCATCAAATGTCTACCAAACAGGACAGAAAACAGGCTTTACTGACTTCATCTTAATTACATTTGGAAACATTTCTTCAAGGCAATTTGTCTTCAAACTGCTGTAATTCATTAAATGAAGCTTTCACTAAAGGATACACGTAAAAGGTCACACTTGTGCCCAATCACATTTTATTGACAAATCAGCATAGTATACCATTTATTTCTCATCACAGTGAGATAGTACAAAGCAATTTACAGTACATATAACTCTACCATCCTGTCAAATAATTATACATGTTTATAGTATACAATTTATTTTATTGTAACAATACATGTTAATATTGTTAAATTCCACACATTTTCAATATAGTCATTCTAGAATTGAAAAATGAAGTCATTCAAAAACATACCATTTCACTGGAGAAGCAATGCTGACTGCATTACTCCTTCCAGCTATCCCACAATTAAAGACCAGAGCACAATCTTTTATTTATTGCATTGGAATATCCCAGAACAACAACACTTTCAACATGACATTTAAGCAATAATCTACTGAAATAATCTTTTACTTGCAAGCACATTACTCTTTCCAAAGATTTAGTTGGAGGGCCCTTGGAAGCCCAAAATTGTGGCACATCAAGTAACTTACAAAATAACTTAGAAAAGTGCACTGAATTCTATGGAAGGACAAGCAGAAAGAGCTCACACAAGCAGAATTCCCTGCCTTCCCTTTCTCCCAGCAACTTCTGGACCCCCAAAAATCCCCAGGACAAGGACTCTCAACAAAATGCACAGGGGGGTGCAGGGAGGTTGATGGGATGTGGCACAGGAAGCAAGCTTTCTTTTCAGGCGGAGGGGAGGTAGGGCAATTTCACCCAACTGCCCTCCCTGACCTCAGCCCTTTTTTGCATAGTACACTTCCAGGTGTCTCCCAAATGTCAGCAGATTTTCATGGGACTCAATAGGCTACTGTAGAACCACCTCCTCAGCTTCTTTCAGGAAGGGGGAAGTCAGTTCTATTGCTTTCCAGACTCACCTCAGCCACCTTTTTAGAAATGCTAATAGGTCTAGCAAGAGACAATGGGATGGTCAAGCTCCCGCCTCGCCCCAAGCATATAACAGAGATTTGGAGGTATTAAGTACTAGAAAAACTTCAGGAAGAAACTCCTGGAGACTTCAGGAAAAATTTCTTTGACACAGCCTAACCTGGTCAGTGGGAGGAGAAGGAGAGATAATAAAACCCTTGGGAGCAAGGAGGAGGGGCTATTTTGTGTTGATTCCATCGAGGCAGACAGAACTCTTAGCTGAGGTCTGTAGGAGGTGGCCATTGCCATGTTCTAGACTGCACACCTGAAAGAAGCTTTAAGGTAATGGCTACCCTGTAAAATATCTGTAACTTTCTAAGCTAAGGAGCCTGCCTTATATTTAACATCTGAAAGGGCATGTATAGAGGGAGGGAGAAAGGAATTGTGTTTTACCCATTTCTTTGGAACCCCTTGCTCAATCTGGTACTGTGCTAAGAATATGTTTGTGAACATTTTCTTTTAAATAAATACTTTGTAATGTTTGATCCTGGTAGTGGTTCTCTGTGCCACATTTTGGACATGCTATTTTTAAAGGAGTGCCAGGAGGAAGGGGAGGGCAGTCAGTTGGCAAGTGGCTATTCCCCCAGTGGTGCACCAAGCAGTAAGCTGTCCCCAAGGTAACCAGGCACTGGGTAGTGGGAGATGCAAAGGCAAGGCCTCAGAACTTGGAAGGGAAGCTGGGAGTCCGACCTTCCCAGTGGGCAATTCCTATAAAGGCCAGGTGGTCACAGCGGTTGAACAGAGAGCAAGAAAAGCCCCTCCTGGTGTTGGGAAGACCTTGGAGGGCAATGTGAAACAGGGCCTGCAGGTCAGAGCAGGACCGTACTGCCACAATCCTATATAAAGGAATTAAATATTCAACAGCTGCCAACACTTGTCCAATGTTCCCTCTAAGACATGGAGTCTTGTGAGCAAAAATTCTACTTTGTGAGCTACTGGCATTAAAGTTGTGAGTGAGCAATTTGGCTTCTGCATACATTAGTTTGCTCTGGAGTCATCCTTCCTGAGCCAAGACAAAAATATGTGAGCCAGAGGCTAAAAAACTGTGAGCAAGCTCACACTAACTCAGCTTAGAGGGAACACTGCTTGTAACTGTCCCTTTCTTTCAATGCCTATTTAATGAAGGCAGCTATGAGAAAGAACACTGGTGTGGAATCACTTGAGGCTACTGGTGAATATAAAGTGGAAATAAGTATTGCTCAAGCCTTAATTTAAATTTTTTAAGAATGATGTCTGTACAGGTCTGGAAAAATGTTACAATTCCTAGGCACCAGCATAAAAGTTTCAGGAGTATGGTCAATCAGGTGCCTATGGATTTTCCAGTGCTTATATAGAAAAAATAGCACACTATTAGAAATAGAACTTTTTCTAACAGTATAGTTACCTACGAGTGTTTTGAAGATGGGCAGCAGTTTCGTACACATTTCTATGGAATGGTCCGGCATCATCCACTTGGACACATGCTCAGAAGAACACGTAGAAGTGATCAGCTCATAGTTTATTAGTGATTCAGCAAGAGGAGGAGGAGGAGATTGGATTTATACCCTGCCCTTCACTACCCAAAGGTGTCTCAGAGCGGCTTACAAACTCCTTTCCCTTCCCCTCCCCACAACAGACACCCTGTGAGGTAGGTGGGGCTGAGAGAGCTCTTGACAGAAACTGCTCTTTTTCAAGAACAGTTCTTATCAGAACTACGGCTTGCCCAAGGTCATCCAGCCAGGTGCAAGTGGAGTGGGGAATCAAACCCAGTTCTCCCAGATTAGAGTCCGTGCCCTAAAGAACAGCATAATAAACTCATACCTTCCAGGCCTTAGCCCAAAGACCCTAAACTGTAGCAAAGAGAGAAAGTTCAACAGACGGCATAAACACAGTATCTGAAAGGAATTCAGTTACAGGTATCTAATTTCTTTGAGAGACTGCTATATAAGCACACTAATCCTTTCTTAGCACCAGGGGAACAAGGGGGATTAAACTCCAAAGGCATTGTCTTCCCACACTGAGTACTCTATCTGGTCCCAAATAAAGTTTAACCTTCAACATTTGCAAAAAAAAAAAAAAAAAGAGTTTTTTTTAAATACTGAAAACCCCTAGATATGTTCTATCATTTATCAAACAAATATCTCCCAAAACCACACATTCTATGGTGCTAACAGGTTTACTAACTACATTCACCTGTCTTCCCCAAAAAGCAGTTGCACTGATCCAGCCAATATTTTCTCTTACCCACAGAGGATTGCATTAGTAGGTGCTGGCACTACCAATGGAGTCTCAATTGGCCTGAGAGGGCTGAAATAATACAGTCATTCTGACACTGAAAAGATCATGGGGATATATGCCAGGATTAACCTAGGAACACATCTGATGACCCATTATTTTGCAGATCAAGATGACAATATACAAAATTCTCACTGCTTACAGTAAAATCGTATCATCTCTTAAGATTCTGAAAAATCAATCTATATTGAACTTACAGGTATATATACTTTTTTCAAATGGCATTCTTCTTCCAGAAGTTCATATACATACTTAGTGATGATCTACAAGAGAAAAGTTGTATAATGAATTGCTTTTGCATTAACAAAACTTTTGCAGGGAAAAAAAGTTTCTAAATTTCACACTTCCTAATTTTATTTATTTATGTATTAAATTAGATTTCTTGGCTGCCCTTCCCTGCAGTACACACAAAAGCACAAGGACCTTCTAGACCTGATTTTAAATTGATTTGAGCAGTAACTTGAAAGACGATGCAAATCCACAAAGAATTGCTTTTACAATCACATACCCGGGTTTTTTTTAATGGAAGCAGCAAAAGACAGGAATCAGCTTGTTTAAAACTTTGAAAATATATTTTGCTTACCTTCCCAATAACATTTTATTGAAATTAGGTGTCATTAAAATTATGGGGAGAGACTTCAAAATAGCAAGTCTAGGGCCTCACAAGATACAACTGAAATCTTAAGTAAGAATAAGTAGCACCCCATTCAAGACTTCCAAATTCAGCCTCTCTAAAGCCAGAAACAAAGACCTTTGAACCCTAGGTTACTAAATGTGATCATGATCTAGGACGCTCCCTTTATATATGAGGAAAAGCCTTGACTCACTGTTACGGATTGTTGAGAAAGGCCTATCCAAGTTCAGGGTTTTTTTTGAACCCTTGTTACATTCAACTGCAATAGGAAGGCTAACTAGAACATGTTCTTAACAATTTAACCCCACAGTATATGTCCATTTGAGTTGGGTTTGAAATCTTGCACTGCTTACATCTAGGATTGCCAGGTCCCCCCAGTGCATGAGGGATCCCCCGGTTTCCGGTGCAGGCCAACTGGCCGGCAGGGGAGAGTTACTGCCTCAAATGCGATGTGCCTACATTGCCTGGAAGTGATGAAGGCAAGTCAGCGACGTCAGGGGGAGACACTCTGGTTTTGGGGCAAAACTCGATGGGAAAATTAGCTTCAAACGATAGTTTTGCCCAAAAAACAGAGTATCGTCCCCGCGGCATCACTGACATGCCTACGTCACTTCTGGGTGATGTAGGCACGTTACCCCCAATGTCCCTGATGTGCTTCTTCCCTCCCCTCTCCTGGAGTGTCCCGATAAGGCCCCCGCCGGCTTGTCATTTGGACCAGTGAACCCTACTTACAAGGCTGCCTGAGTTCCAGACCAGAACAAAGCAATACGATGCTCACATATTTATATTAAAATACATTCATTTGATTTCAAGTATAGGTACATATTCAGGATTACAGCATAAATTATTTCCTACAAATAACATTTGTTTCTAAAACATCATGGTATTAATTGAAAGCTCAGTTTTTAAAAACATACCCAGCTAAAGTACAGCTGAACAAGAATATAACTGTAAGGAATGAGTTGATTTAAGTCATGTTTATCCCAAAGCAGCATGTTAGAAACATGCACCCGGTATAATTTTACCCTTAGGACCTAACTGTTTCCAGTTCACTGAAATCATCTTCCATTTTTAGCAAGAGTAAAGTATATATTTCTAGAGTCTCACCAGCTGAGAATTCCAAGCCACTGAAGTGAATATAATGATAATAAAGGACTCAAAGTGTATTTGCGCCAACTACAAAACACTATTTGTTTGTAGTGGTAGGAAGGTATGGGCTGCCCAGTGCTATGTCTGCCAGAAGAAGAAACTTCACACCACAGGAATTCAAAAGGAAGGAATATACTTCTGATACTGCATGATACAGTTGTAAGATACTGCAATGTGAAGTATAAAGCAACATAGCACAGCCTAAGAACTTCCTTCTCTCACCTGTACAAGCACCATACACTCCAAACAATGAACCCAGCTGAATAAAAGGTGAAGAACTATTCATGGTCTCATGATACACCAAGATAATATTGGGAAAATTCATTCATTTTCAGGGTTGATTCATATTTAATTTAGGTTTAGAACTCATGCTATCCTTAGGTATCAGGATGGGTAGTAGTTGGGCTTCAACAAATGAAGCCAGCAGCAACAACAGCCTTGAAAAAAGTTGCAAGCTGCAATGGCATTTGCTAATGCATTGCAGTGATTGGCTGTCTGCAAGGTCCCTCCCTCCCCGAAAAGCAGAGCAAAAAGTGGGAAAGGGGCAAAAACGGCAGGGAAAAGAAGGTGAGTGGAGCCCTTTAAAGTTTAAAGCCACCAGAACCCGATTTTGGTAAAGCCAAAAAAAAAAGCCAGGGAAAAACCAAAAATTTTCAGGTTTTTTATCGGTATTTAGTATTTGGCAGCTGAATCAGCTCAAGAGAGCTGATTCGGTATGCCGAATACCCGAAAAATGCTGGAAAAGTTTTTTCCAGGTTTTTTTTTGGTCCGGCTTTACTAAATGCACACTCCTAATGGTGACCCAAAGCAGCTTATATCATTCTCCTCATACATTTTATCATCACAACAACCCTGTGAGGGATGTTTGGATGACAGTGTGTGGCTGGCGCAAGGTCACCCAGTGAGCTTCTACAGCAGATTCAAGCCTGGGTCTCCCAAATCTTAGTCTGAAATTCTAATAACTACATAACACTGGCTTTCACTGGCTGCTAATGAAGAAGAAGAAGAAATTGGATTTATACCCCGCCCTTCACTTGGAGTCTCAGAGCGGCTTACAAACTCCTTTCCCTTCCCCTCCCCACAACAGACACCCTGTGAGGTGGGTGGGACTGAGAGAACTCTGACACAAACTGCTCTTTCAGGAACAGCTGTGCCAGAGCTTGTGACTGACCCAAGGTAACACCAGCAGGTGCAAGTGGAGGAGTAGGGAATCAAACCCGGTTCTCCCAGATTAGAGTCCGCACACTTAACCACTACACCAAACTGGCTCTCATGAACAACAGCAAGCAACTAGACCTGGGTGAGTCATGCAACCTAGATGGTTGTAAGTCACCTCATAGTTGCTGTACCGCAATAAGTCCTCTCTCAAAGGCTAAGACAGGCCTGGAAAGGGCCTTTGCACACTCCTCTGTATTGACAGACTCCAAGGCTTAAAGGCTGGCATCATTGTTGTGGTTGCCCAGCAACAGCCACTGAGGGCATTTGTTTCTTAAAGCTACAGGGGCTGTTATTATTTGAGAGGATTAATGCCCCACAGTTTTTGTTGCTATTTTTTTTAGATTTCAGATTTTTCTGTAAACCTGGGGTTTTTTCAGGTTTGTAGAAAGATCTGTGTTGTCTGTTCCTGGCCTCATAAGCATCCACAGATAATGGCCATGTTCAGAATTAGATATATTAATTTGGACTATTCCTGGCCTTTGTGTTTCCAAAGGAGAAGCCCATTTGTTACTTCTTGCTCCCAGAAAGCCAGGTGTGAAACACAATGCCAATTTCAAACCTGCATGCCTTTTCTGCATTTTGCACAGGGTGCTAATTTCCTTGGAACTTGGCTGCTGTGTGATTTGTTGACTTGTATCCAAGAGGATAAGGTAGGACAGAAGTGTAAAAACAAGACTAGGTCTTCAGATCATGACCTGAGAATTTAAACCTCCCTTTATGTGATCTGTTCCCAGAACCAAATGGATCCAAATGGCTTTCTGGTGGCTTTAGAGAATTTCCCTATTTATACAGCTGGTGCTCCTTTCATTGCCATGGTTGACTTCTGGAATGAGGAAGTGACCCAGGCAGTTGACACGATCATACCCAGATGCCCTCTCTCAAATGTGAGAGCTCAGGTAACCCCTCAGTTTACTGAGGGGTCACGGGTGAAGAAAAGAGAAGAAAGATGCCCAGAGTGAAAATGGAGGAAGATTCAGGATGATCTGGTAAGACACAGGCAAAAGCCTATTTTAAAGCATACTCTGTGGTGCTGAGGTTTGTAAACCACGAACCGGGCTCGGTTTGTCACAAATTTCGGTTCGTGATTCGGTTTGTGCCCATCCCTAATCCAGTCTGAGGGTATGGACAGGATTTTCGGAGTAAGCTTGAGGCCTACCACCTGCTTGTATAACCCTCGCCCTTCCTGCCTACTTAAATCTGTGGGGCAGGGGGCTGGCTGACTGGATCAGAGAAGTAGTTAATGCCTCGCAGGGGGGCTTGCCCCAGTTTTGAAACAGGCTTGTTGTATCTACTTCTAAAGACGTCTACCCTGGACCGAGATGGTCTCAGTAACTATTAATTAGTCTCAAATATTCCATTCTTATGCAAAGTGACTGGGCAACTTAAAGCTTTCTTGGATGGTGCAATTTGTTTAGATCCATTCCAATCTGGTTTTAGCCTGGTTATGGGACTGAGCCTTGGTCGCCCTGGTGAATAACCTGCACTGGGAATACATGAGGCTGCCTTATACTGAATCAGACCGTTGGTACTTCAAAGTCAATACTGTCTACTCAGACTGGAAGCAACTCTCCAGGGTCTCAGGAAGACATCTTTCACATCAACTACTGCAAGATCCTTTAACTGGAGATGCTGGGGATTGAACCTGGGACCTTCTGCATGCCAAGCAGGTGCTCTACCACTGAGCCACAGAGGGAGTGCAGCTCTGTTGAGTCTCCTGGCCCTCTCAGCAGCTTTCAATACCATCACTCATGGTATTTCAATACCATCACTAACCTTCTGGACAGCCTTTCTGGGATGGAACATGCCATATGCAGTGGTTCCAGTCCTACCTAGACAGTAGATTGCAGAAGATGGTGCTGGGGAACAGCTGCTCAAACCCTTGGTCTTTGGGATCCCACAAGGTTCCACCTTGTTCCTTAGGCTCTTTTACATGAAAACACTGCATGAGGTCATCCAGAGATTTGGGATGAGTTAGAATAACAGAGTCTTAGAATCATAGAGCTGGAAGGGATCTCCAGGGTCATCTAGTCCAACCCCCTGCATTATGCAGGAAATTCACAAATACCTCCCCCTCACACCCCCAGTGACCCCTGTTCCATGCCCAGAAGATGACAAAAACCTCCAGAATCTCCAGCTGATTTGGCCTGGAGAAAAATTGCGTCCTGACCCCAAAGTGAAGATCAGCATTTCCCTGGGCGTGTAAGAAAGGGCCACAAGAACTAAGCACTGAGGCAACCCTTCATGCCCTCCCTCTCATGATCT